TTACTCACCATATGGTATTAAGTCATCTCTCTTTCCATGCTTGAAAAGCAGAGCCTTGAAAAGTCGGGGAGTAAATGACAAAGCCAAAATGAGATGGTGTCATATGGTGTTATGGTAACAATTAATCAATCAGTCAATCAAGGAGTCAGTGGAAGATGTGGAAAGGCAACATGAAATGCTGGGAAGGTATGCATGGGCCTTAACTCCTGCAGATTTTCCTCAGGTAAGGTTTGACCTTAATTATTCATCTTCAGACCTCAAACATATATATTTATTGGCTCTCAAATTTGAATTAATTTATGTAATATTGCCAGATATTGAATTTTATGAAAACGCCAAAAACTTGGGTGAATAGGATTTTAATTGTGAGCTTCTTCAAGACATACTCAAGGTTTTCATTGAAAAACATAGTAGAAGGAAAAGCGTAAAGTAACAGGAATTTATACTACATGTCTAAATAAAAAGTAGTGGCGACCAACAAAATTTAGGTAGAGAATTCTGCATAGAAGCCACAGAATTACCTGAGTTCAACTGTCTAATGAACACTCTATAGACTATGAAATTTTTAACTGACCAATGTTGTCAAGATCCCTGTCAACAGCAGCATTCCATCCATTGTCTCTCCTGGTAAGATAGAAACACAAACAAGAGTCTTTTTAAAAAAATGATCTCATCTGGAAAGAGTCCAGAGGAGGAACAACATGGCAATTAAGAGGTCATATTTCGATTTGAATGTCTGACGGCCCTTCCAGAGTGTGCTTGCTTCTCATTTTTCATGGAAAGGCTGGGATTTGCGAGCATTGGATGAAGAGGCCCAATAAGCTTTGCAATAAGTGGTTTAAATTGTGCATGATTGTTATAACTTTGCATCTAAATACAAACCATTTGCTCGCTCCATCCTCATCAAACACCAGTCCAGAAATTCTGCCAGCTTTTCTTTCTTCACATCCGGTCTTGTAACAAACCTATAGACAAGTGGAGGATACAGAAAGTGTATAAAATATATTATAAACTGACAATACAGACTAACTTGTTACAAAGATCTGCCAAACATACTTTGAGATAACTAATGCAGCAGCATCTCTTGATTTGTCTGGAACTGAAAGATACATCTGCAACAAGGAAAATTAATGGAGAATTTCAAAGTTAGCCACAATTAGACACCGTGAACAAAAAAATGACCTGCTACACAATACTGACAGCTTTTAAGTCAATCCCACCTACCTTTGCAGTTTCAAGAATTCTCTCCACCACAGGCCTGCGTCTCTCCTGTGTTCCACTATTGGCATCTCTCCGTCCATCAAAGCGAGCCATGTCAAAGGGTATCATACAAACAATAGACAACCACAGGAGAAGAACATATCGCGTCTCCCAGGTCTGGGGTTAATAAAAAACATCGCAATCATTTTGACTTAAGGATAATACATCATGGTTGACAAAAAAGAGAAAGATGAAAATGAGAGATTTTAGAAAGCTGCGATTTAATAACATTTTCCTACAATTGCAAGTCACAGTGGGTCATAGGGCTCCTATTGATAACAGATATACTTTTAAGTATTCTGAAGGGATTACCCTAGTTAAATAAAGGTTTGTTACTGCTACTTATGTTGATGAAAATGTACAGTACATTAATGAGTATGTTGTAAGTTAAATTGGATTTAGGGCTAAATACATTTAGAACTGGCTTGATTTGCATTTTCTTTGCTTAAGAAAAGACAATTCGCAGGAACGTATAAAAATGCAAATCAAAATTGTAGTTGAAATCATTTTGACCTGAATTCTTTTCAAACATTATCATATTCCCTAAATTATATGTGTCACATTAGCAATTATAGATAAGGTAGTAACATCATTAACTAGAAATAAAAACTATAAAGATAACACACCTCATGATCTTGAGGATTTTGCTGATACAGCATTCCAAGAACTGGTTCCACATCGGTAACTTCATGAGAAAACAGACGTACCACAAATTTTGGTCCCCTGACCTGATCAAGTTTGAGTGAGAAAAATAAACAGGAAAGTACATGTTGTTAATGATGATGTCACCTATGTGTCTGTCCTTCGATAAATCATAAATAAGAACCATTCAAAATGATTACAGGCTTCAACCCTCAATACTGTAAAAAACAAATTCAACTGGTTTATTCCATTTAATAATATACATGAAAAAATTATATGCATCTGATTGGATGAAAACTTGTGCATTTTTCATGAACACAAGTGCAAAGTTGTAACATGTGTGCAAAGTTGTAACACAAGTTCAAATTACAAATAGTGTGCACACTTTTGCTATCAAAATTTCATCTGTCTTGACTTTCTGTGATGCTTCTAAGAAAATTCATGTAAATTTTTCAAAGATTATAAATTGCACTTGTCCTATAGGCTTGTGTAATTTAGTTGTCTTTGAATATTCATTTGTGCTAATTAACAACAAATTGCACTTGAAATCAAGTTATTACCTATACTTAAAATTCTTTTTAAAGTATGACAACATTCTTATAAGCAACAAGGGTTGCTAGCCCCTTGATCACTCTCTGTGACTAAAGTATCAGTCTGAAGGTTTGATTACAATTATAGGGTCTCAAATCTATAAGATTACCAAACAGTTAAAGTGTTAATTGATAATTTACAACCACATTCTTTGTGTCCTCAGAAAGTACTTATTTAAAGTCCAATACTAATTGTTTTATATGGCAACCCAATTGCTCTAGTCAACCTTGCCAGTTGTTATCATGCAGAACTGTATATAAGTGATGAATAAAGGGGGAAAGTTTCTGAAGAGGGGGGAGGGTGAGGGGATGGGGTTTCATCAGCTGAGTTGTTCATGCAAATTGGCCATTCATCAATTTGTATCATCATGTATCATCACACAAGTTGTGTGTGTGATACATGTATGTGATGTTTCACTTCTTATCATATACAGCTCCAACAGCATGGGAGGGCAAACAATTCATTGTGTCAAAATGGTATCTAAATGCATGATCAATTGGAAACAGACCTTGGTGATTAAATATAAATATTTGAATCCCTGCTGAATCACTTTAGCTGGGTTTGATGCATCACAGACTATATGTTGCAATTTCTGTACAAGGCTTTCTGAAAGTGAGAAAATAAATCACAAATGTGAATTGCCCAGTTCTATATTTAACAAAATTTCAACAGAGAAAGAAAAATGAATACTGAGAGTTTTTTTTTTATTATTTTCAGTATTATTTGGTAACTTCTGCCGACAGCTTAAAACTATACTCTGCAGTACCTACTGATAAGTAGCTTAATGTAATCTGTTCATTCACACATTGTTTATACAGGTAAAGTTTACCACTCTACTATAAGACGGGTTTCCTATTTGAGAAAGTAGTCCAAGCAACGCTTGAGTAAAGATCTCGTCCTTATTTCTTAAGGATAAAAAATCGCAATTTAAGAGAATATGTAAACATTCTACAATATTGTAAAACACAGTACATACAAATCGATAACTATGAAAATTCTTTACACTACTTACCTAAATGCGGATCCAATAAATGTGGCTGTTCCTGATACTTATTCAATATAACTGCAAATTAACCATTTTTATACACGGTAGTGGGCATGATAAAAGGAAATTTTGGATGGAAGCCTGAGCTCTTAATTAATAACATACTCACAAACAAGTAAATGAAACAAAACTAGGAGATTAGAAAACATGCTACACTTACGAATTAACCGCTCCTCTGCAGCCTCGAGTAAAATATTATCATGACATATGGTTCCTATTGATTCGATCAATGATGTTACTTCTTTGAGTTCGGTAAAATGATCCAAGCTGTATGACACAGAATTCTCGTCCTCCTTGGCCGCCATTTTTTATTTGGATCCAGTTACCAGTCCCACTCGGTTACCGCGTAGATACTTTAGTGTGAACTCGGCATATATAAAAGGGTTTTAATTTTGACGAAGTAATCTTCCTTTTTAATTAAACAAATAGGTAACTGACGGCGAGGGAGGTAGTTTTTTATGCTTTCTTTTAATGACAACTAGTTATAGAGCTTTGTGCAGCTGAGATGTCAAGTTACACATCATTTTTTTTCTTGTTATTTGGTAAATTAAAAACACGTCATTCAGAAAACTTGTGAGCAAACAACACAAAGCAGATACGGGATGAAAAAGAGATGAAAATAGAGATATAAGTTGCACATCCTCCTCATTTTCCATTATTTCCTTTCAATTAGTCATTTATATGGAAAGCCTACCGCAAGAGAGAGATCTTAGATGAAGTCTTTTTAAAGTCAGCGCACGATATAATAGATTTATTGAAAAAAAACCACGAAATGTGCTATTGTCTTTTTATCCGTATCAGTTGCTGGTAAGGGCGAAGATTGTGAACAAAATGTCCGTCATTGTAGCAAAATCTCAAAATATAAATTTCGCCTTAAAACGTTCTTTCGAGCTGAGTGTTATCCATGCATTGTATTAAAAGCGGTTGGCAAAAATCGAAAATTGAAATGTCCTGTAGATCTTTATAAAAGCAGACAGTCAAAATACTCTTCGCCCTAAAATAAGTCGTGTATTAACATCTCAAACGAAAACTCTCGAAACAATCAAATGGCTTTCAATCAGTCCGGTAGTATCCGTCCGTTTTAAGGACCAATGTCTTCAGAAGAGTAATTAAGATCGAAAGCTAAGCCTACATCCTTTTTTCAGAGAAATTGAGACCTAATTTTAATTTTAACACACAAAGGAAACCCTTGTCCAACGCAGTACAACCCAATCGGCGGTTAGAAATTAAAACATTGAAAGATACACCTTGGTCAGTTTTTGTTTTCACAATCTGTTTGATTCCCACGCAAGCAGCACGCGACCGCGTAAATTGCTACCGGGGCCTGCTTATTAACTGCTATAAAATAATATTAACAAATGAGGCAGTACAAGTGTTAACCGGAAATTTGATAAAATATATAATAGCACACGTTCATTGAGTCCAGTGTAAGAAATCTTTCCTTGCTAAGCTGAGAATACTGAAACATTATGAAGAATTCTCCCGTATGGAAATTTACCGGAAAATCAGCTTTGCCAAATAAATACACCTTTTTCTGTTTTAGAACTGAGAAGTGAATAAGCTGTCACCCAGGACAAAAAATTGATCATTACTCTGGCTGACTAATTATTTTTAAGGCTGGCGTTTAAGGTAAAGGCAATTTCCGCACAATTAACATCACTTTAGAACGAATTTCTCTAATTCGCCAACAGTAGACGAAAGGATTTATCGAAGAATTAAGAAAAATCACAACAGATGTTAGGTTTGTTGATAACACAACTGGGGAGCTATATCCAAACAATGCTACCGCGATTATGGCACAGAGATAAGGAGTGTAACATGCTACAAGAAAACCGAAAACTGCTAGCATACTGTTTACAGATCTACGGTACAGCATCATGTTCAAAGTCTTTCGAGGTTGCCTTGTGGAAGCCTCGTTTGTTATTCTTGTCTTTAGAGCCCTCAGAGTTCGATGTATTCTAAAATAGCACGAAGACGTTATGACAATGCAGGAAAAGCCAAGAATTATGGCACTGATTTTATTGATTTGGATATTCCACATTCGGGAGACCGCCCAGATAGAGCTGCCAATCCACAGGAGTACTACAACCAGAGTGACTTTTTTCACGGTTATAATCAGTCTGTGTCGTATTCCGAGTCTCAACGCCAGATATCTTTCAATGCTTATTACTGTCGTGGTTGTAAAAGACACGGCACAGAAGAAGTAGGCCACGGCAGCATAAAACGGCTGAATTGTACAAAACAATCCAAGATTACCATGGAGAGCACCCAAACCTGTGGCAACTTGTAACGGTTGAGCGACCATACCAACTCCAAAATCAGACAGAGCTAAGCTGTAAAAAAGAGCTTTGGACGACGAGTAGATCGTGCGGCACTGGAAGAGGGCGAGTAAAATTATCGAATTTCCAACAATCGCAGAAATAGAAAAAACTACATTTGCAATGCACAAGAACACGTACCAATGACGAGGCGATTTGCGTATAAACTGGTACTCACGAAAATCTTGATTAGAGCAAGAAGTATTAAATACCTCCATTTAAAAACTGTTTGTAAAATTGCTTGATCGCCTTGCGTTTCCGGAGAATATTACTTCGAGTTTTAGAGGCTTGGGGAGCTTGCCAGTATGTTCCCATTAAAATATTGTGCCTGATATTGAGCCTTGTCGCAGTTTTACTGATAATTTGAAGTTAAGTTAAAAATCTATATACACCCAACGATGGTTTTTCTATGTCAACATGAACAAGGGAGATGTCAATCGTGCCAATCAGACTCAAAGCTTTGACTTCCAACTGAAAGGAAAGTAAACATTAAGCCAGCTTTGTTTTACTTTACTTTGGCGTTCCGGATTACAACCCAAAAGAAATAAATTTATCTCGACAATGAAGACAGGGAGGTGTATTATTCTAATTGTACTAAAGAAGGCGTTCTATTTACCGCGCAGACACCAGTTTCTTTGGATTCAATGAACAAATGTTTGCGACTTCGCAAGAATGAATATTCTGTGAATTGCAAAACGCTGTAGCTCTTGCTAAGTACTGTATAAATTAAGTCTAACTGTATTCATGAGAAAATGAAAAAATGATCGTCAATTAATAATTTTAATATACTTTTTTAAATTTCTCGCGAAATGGTCCGCTTTGTATTTTACAGCACGCGTAAAAGCCAGATCTGATTATGCCGTTCTGACGCATCTCATTAGAGATTCAATATAGAAATGACGTTTTTCGTTTGTTCAAGTTTATTTACAAAAGAAAAGTGTTTTTGCTTTAAAATAGAAGAGTTTTGAAAAAGAGAAGTATATTTCAGAATCAGAGGTTAATTATAACACAGTTTTACTTCACAAAAGATGTTTTTGACATTAATAGCATTATGATATGTAAGGCCTGAGGGAATTGCTAAATCTATCAAAAAACCTTGTAGCTTACGAGTAAGCACATTGCCCATACAGACGTATACTGATATTTTTTTTAGTCCCACGCTCCAACCAATGCTTGACATCTTACTTTATTAGAAAATCTCCATTTCTGCCCTAATACTCTTTTGAAAAAGTATCCTTCACCAAACGTATTGAAGGTGACCCATGAGAAGAGTGCAATTGCTTATGCATGCTATACAGCACTTGAAACAGCCCATTTTTATATTGTCCGTTTTTGTACCAGCCAAAATGTTGTTCAGTCGTGGTTCAAAGTAATTCTTCTCACTATATAATTTTCATGGGCTCCTGATTATTTTAAATATTTTTCAAAGTTTGAAAAAAAATGACGTAAAAGAAGGCTCTCGTATATGATAGCTTCCCACAGCCTTGGATCTGCTTAGGGATAAAAATAAAGATTGCCACCTGTCTTCACAACAAATCTGCAGCTCATGTGCTCTGTCACGGATGATTTTTTTACTATTGCTTTTACTCCTACATTTTGCAAATATTTGACGCAAATTTCCCCTCTCCATATTGCTTACACCAGCCGTCGCTGTTAGAAATGAGTTAGTAAAAAGATCAGTTATATCAAGGTTGCATGTATTTGTATGACGCACTGGCTATGGACGGGGTAACACAATTAACACGCGCATGCATCGGTGGATAAATATCTGTTCCACTTTTTGCAAAAACCAGAGAAAGTGATGCCAGGCAACATTTCCACAAATAAATACAGCAGTTACACGTTCATTTTTGAAAAAAATGACGCAGATCATCCCTATTCATTCGCGGAAGCGCTTCCATTAAACTTGGAAGGACATATCAGCAGGAAAACTGGCCGCCATGTTGTCTTGCCTCTACTTATCAAAGAGGAGAGATCAGATGAGGACCGATCCTCGTGACTAACCATTATTGATATACCAACCAAAAACAGGATGGAACATGGATATTCTGTTGGGAATCTGCAGTGAAAATTACCGCGTAAATCCGTCGCGGAAATTGCCGTTTAAAACAGTTCAGTTTTCCCAATAGATCGCCACAAACATTGACAAACAAAGATCAAAGTCACAGCGACTTTTTACCGAAACTTGTTCACACACAGAAATAAGCCTTAAACATAAACTTTGGCTATGGTAACTTCTACCTCAGAATTAAGCACACATTACGGTCTTTGGTAAAAACTTCAATTTTGGAAACTCACAATTTAAATTGTATAATGAGGTAAAAAAAAACCGCACGCTCTGAGATTAAACTTAATTCACGATAACTCGTTATAAAAAGTCATCACGTGCATTTTCCAAACTTTAATCACGGTCATCAGGGCCTCTGTGGTCATTTACCAGTCAACCTAAATGTAACGTGAATATGTATTATTTTTTGTGCGCATCACCGGACTGTAACAATGAAGAAAGTGAAGGGAAACTTATATTATTCCTAAAGCAGAGCAAATGAATTTTGATGAAAATATATTCAATTGCCTTGAAATTCGAAATCAATCGGAACCAGCACGTACGCAATTATGTTGTCATCTACAAACCCACACAATGGTGGACATCTATTTCTATAATTTCTTGCCGTGCTGATGTACATTAATTAAAGCCCGTGCCAAGTTATGTCAAATATTTCAAGATCTTCATTTGGGGTCGTATAGAAAATAAAAATTTGCACAAAACCGCAACCCTATAAAGAAAACACCTGTTCAGACTCAAATCAAGATTTTAGATATATGAAAATTCACATATTTGCACTGCGGTGGAGAGATGAAATAGGAGAGAAATTAGGAGAGATTGAAATTTTTTTTTTTTTTTTCAGGTCCTATTTACAACTACTCGTTTCAGTAGTGTTCTTAGCTGCGAGGATCTCCTAATTTCATCTCTCCACCGCAGTGCAAATATGTGAACAAAGGCATGCCCATTTACGAGGATCATTTTCAAACTCTTATGTCTTTCAAGGCACCGCAAGTTCTATTCTTCAGGCAATCGTTAGGGCCCTATGGAACTCTCTTATACAGCACACTTTCTAACTGATGCTAATATCCACGCGCCTTAATCAAAGCGTTCAATAGTCTGTAGTTTGGTTTCTTTGGATCTAGGAGTTACAATCATTATTTATCTCATATCTGCGATCTACAGTTTTTCCGCGGCGATGAATAGCGTTGAAGTATTTTGTGGAGGTCGTGAGCCGAACGTCATCTCAGATCTTAGTTTGGGATCAGTGTCTTTCATAACAGTGGCATTCATCGTTTTAGGCAGATACTTTGCTTTAAAACGGCGACTAAAGTAACGGCGACCAAGGTAGCCTGTTCCAGGCATTCAGTCATTAAAACGCAGCGCGATAGAAAACAGCACGATTTTGTGGCGGAGGAGTGAAAAAGCGAGGGAGGCTTGGGTCTAGTTGGGGTCAGCAACTGTCTCGACCCAAGCCTCCGTTGTTTTCACGATCGGCCGCAACTAAATATATTGCGCCGTTTACTATCGTTTTACCAACTGAACGCTCGAAACATGCTACGACAAAGGTATTACCAGATGGTTACTTCAAAAAGGGTTGTGTTGCTATTAATTTCTTAATTATTCGCCGCATTCGCATTCGCCGTTGGGGTGTTTGTTACTCGACGCAAAAATCCGTTCTACGAAAAGAAACGACACTGGAGAACAGTTTGATTGGTTTAGAGTACATGTTTCGAGAGCCGATACTACTATCCATTGGGTTTGTCCACTCAGTGAATGGAACCCTCTCGAAAATGGCTTCTGAAGACTGAAAGCACTCAACACAATTACGCAAGACATTTATTTTAGCTCTAAAAAAAATCGAAAAATCAAGTATTTGGTTATCTAACAAAATTTCATTTAGCCAGGAGTTGTTTCAGCCGAGTAATTGTAATGTTAACGATCGAGAGCATGGCTTCGTGTATACACCCGATTGCAAAAACGTTGACAGCCTAAAATACTTTAAACGATGGGATCCGTCGGCCTTATGGGTGAACGTGTACATGGTAATCACAGTCGTGTGTGATCAATAATGCAAGCTGTCCACCTTTCCTAAAGAAAAGAACTATCTTATAAAAGATTTGACACGAAAAAAGAGGGAGAAGTAAATCACCGATGATGTGGCTATACCATCACCACACAGAAACTTTTGAGTCCTCATCGTTAATAGTTCACGTTTTGTTAGGTGACTACATTTTGGCAACCGAATGTGTGTTACGCCTATAGTCCTACAACTGACTTAAAATATTGACATAAATCTACCATATATATGAAAATTAATCCTTCCTTCGATGATATTTTCTAATTTTCACTGCAAGGATTATTGTTCCATAGCCATGATCTATCAAATCAGCAAGGTTCGAGTTGACGTTAGCCATTTTACTTTCAAGATCTAAACATCAATTCTCCTTAATGTTTTCCACTCGTTTCTCATGATTAAAATTTGAGAATTTGGCGTGAAATCAAACAATATTCTATGGTTGATATTCATCTTACTTCTCACCTCCTTTCTGTTTAAGATGTTTTGAAATTTGGATGAGAAAATTATTTTTGGTAACTCCAGAGATTAAAGCACCACTGGGAAATTAACTTACTTTAAAGGCGTCTTGATCTCTAATACATGAAGTAGACTGACATCACCGTGAACGGCCCCGAAGCCCGGAGCTCATGCTCAGATTGCTTTCAAAAACATCTTCAATTTCTTTATATAAAGGTTTTTGAAATGCGTGACATAGACTGACAACAACGGGATCAGTGATCTTACGTCCATCCAGATTAAGTTTGGTTACTTTACGTGATGGTGTCTGCATTGCTTGACACAGACCGAAAGCACCGGCATCGGTGATCAGATTATCATTTAGATCAAGTGTGGTGACTTAACATGTTGGTGTCTGTATTGCTAGACATAAACTGCCAACACCGGAATCGGTGATGTGATTTCTTCCCAGATAAAGTTCGGTGACTTTACATGTTGGCGTCTGTATTTCTTGACATAGACTGGCAACACCAGAATCGGTGATATGATTATTTCCCAGACCAAGCGTGGTGACTTTACATGTTGGCGTCTGTATTTCTTGACATAGACTGGCAACACCGGCATCGGTGATCTGATTGTAACTTAGATAAAGTTCGGTGACTTTACATGTTGGCGTCTGCATTGCTTGACATAGACTGGCAACACCGCCATCGGTGATCTGATTGTAACTTACATAAAATTCGGTGACTTTACACGTTGGCGTCTGTATTGCTTGACATAGACTGGCAACACCGGCACCGGTGATCTGATTGTTACTTAGATGAAGTTCGGTGACGTTACATATTGGCGTCTGTATTGCTTAACATAAACTGACCACACCGGCATCGGTGATCCAGTTATCACACAGATTAAGTGCGGTGACTTTACATGTTGGTGTTTGTAATGCTTGACGTAGACTAACCACACCGGCATCGGTGATCTGATTACCACGCAGATTAAGCGCGCTGACTTTA